TGTAGGTTCCCCACCGCATGAGCTAGCCAGATTCTTGGCAAGTATTCTAAAACCTCTCACCGGGGAATCCAGTACTCACATTAAGAATTTATATGACTGTCAACAAAAAGCAACCGGTGTCACCGTTGAACAAGACGACATCCTTGTAAGTTTCGACGTAAATTCGTTATACACAAATGTGCCAAAATGGGACTCTAGAAACAGCCGAGCGACTGTTACTAGCGGACACTATCTTTCAGAGCAAAAATGGCTTACCGTAGATGAAACAGTGGAAGGTACAAAAGCATGTTCGAATCTGACCCACTTCGCTTTAAACTCAGAGGTTTGCACTCTTGAACAAGGTCTAGTAATAGTATCTCCAAATTTCGCACATTTACGGAGGAATTTGAACAGAAAGCAATTCCCGTACTCACCTGATATATTCTAGCATTATGTACATGATACTTTCGTCGTAGCGAAAAAAGACAATGTCGGTGAGTTCTACAACTATCTGAATGGACTGAGTACACACATCGAATTTAGTATGGAGATAGAGNTTAGGTTTCACTTTGAACCTAGGTGATTGATGCAAGATATGCGGCTGAGATACTATCTGAGTATACGCACCCGAAGTCTTTTGTTAAGTCGAGAAGACTGTCGTTGTATTCGGTATGGTTCTGTAATAACAACAAATAAACAACGGTTATTGATTGAATAGAATTGTCAATGGTTAATACATAGCGATGAATCAATACGAACGTACATTCAAGATTGTACCACAGGTCTTTGAGCCGATCCAACGTAAATGTCAAGGGAAATACAGGTGAAGTTTATACTCCAAGCAGTGTCCGAAATGTGGAATGAGAGTCATGAAGTGTCAGTAGGTGTGAAGGAATCAACCAACGTTCACCGAACGTTACACTCCCCCCGGAATCGACAACTGAGTTGGATCGCTGCTCGGTGGAGTGTCAAGGATCTCAATGTTTCTTCGAGCCTGCATAAGTGGCGCACCTCCCTGAGAATACGACCAGCGGCTGTTCGGATAATCGCCTCACGCACTAAGCCGTCCGATCCTTCGACGACTTTCGACCACTGACCTCTGGGGCCGCCTTTGTTCGCTGCCAGCTTGATTCGGCGTCAATTGAGAAGGGTGTTGGTACCGGCAGCGAAACCCAACAGAGAATGAATCGGCACCGTCGTTATTCCATACAAACCAGGGACATCGGAGATAACTGTGGCTAGAGCGTGAATTTACTGACCGGAAGGCCCGTGGCTCGAACCCAACCTCGGTATATTTATTGTTACTGACTAGGCTTGGTAACCTGGCAGTAACCCGGCCCTCGTGCTTACTTCAGGTGGCATGGCCACATGAGAGACACGAAGCTTGGGATGCTGCCAGGTTGCCCAAGCTAGACAGGGAAAGTCAGGATTCAATGGTCGGGTTTGAACCACGGTCAGTAAATTCGCGCTCTAACCACTTGGTCCATCTCGCCCCTAAATTCAGAGTGAGACCTTCAGCTGTAGCACCCTTCCGATGCCTAGNTCCCGTTGACCCAAATGAACGGCTAATCGAATTCAGAGTTAACTCTCAGAACTGACCGTCGCTTAGGATAAGCGACGGGGGCTAGCCAACATTTCTTGGTAACTTCGATGGTCGAGGTCCAGCTGGTCATGTCATCCGCCGCCACCTCTGGTTAAGCCTACCACATCCTGGTGACTGGAACTGTAGCAGCCGGAACCAGTCTTTTTCGCACGTGGTTTGCAATCGCTGAACTGAACCCGTCCATTTGAAGAAACCTACCGTTTGCCAGACACTTCCGACAGCCAGGTTACACGAGACCGCTCGGTTGAGTTAAAGAACAAACGGACGGAAGGAGGAATTTATTAAACTTCCAATTCTATCCCGTATAACATCTCAAAGTGGCCGTGGAAGGGCGTCAGTTTCAGGTACCCGTCAAATCGCCGATCGGTGGAACCCTGTGAAGCAGAGAAAAAGGATAAATAATCTCATTCCCAAAAGATATCACCCAGAAAGCAACAAAGCATTCAATTCAGGAGCTTCTCGGAGTAATCAAAGATTACGACTTACTTAATGGTGAGAACTGTCATGAGCTGCAAAGAAATAGGCAACTGATTATAGTCTCATAAGACGCGTGGGACACGGGAGCCCTGCGGCTTCATGGCGAATTTGGGGCTAGGTTATGAGAAAACTAACTGATATTCGCGGCTTCACCAAGAAAACTACCCTAACCGAGAAGCATCAGGATTACCATAAGCCACGTTAGCGTTTAACAACATTGATGCCTCAGAAGGGTGATGGGGCTGGGCACCAGTCCACCCACTCAGGAAGTGTCCGAACCCCTAGGCATACATTCACTCTGGGACGACGGAGTCCAAAAGGACAACTCTAGTATGAACTGCAGCCCATCAGTTCCAAACACGTGTCTATGCATACAGAATTCGACCACAGGAGGGACCGCCTACCAATT